CTGGGTTTAGATGACCCCAGCTAGATGCCTATCTAACCTCCTCTTGAAGACCCCCAGGGTAGGGGAGAGCACCACCTCCCTTGGGAGCCCATTCCAGACTTTGGCCACTCTAACTGTGAAGAAGTTCTTCCTAATGTCCAATCTAAATCTGCTCTCTGCTAGCTTGTGGCCATTATTTCTTGTAACCCCCGGGGGCACCTTGGTGAGTAAAGCCTCACCAATTCCCTTCTGTGCCCCCGTGATGAACTTATAGGCAGCCACAAGGTCGCCTCTCAACCTTCTCTTGCGGAGGCTGAAGAGGTCCAGGTGCCCTAGTCTCTCCTCATAGGGCTTGGCCCACAAGCCCTTAACCATACGAGTGGCCCTTCTCTGGACTGTCTCCAGGTTATCCACATCCCTCTTGAAGTGCGGCGCCCAAAATTGCATGCAGCACTCCGCCCCAGAGTGCTGAGGGAATTAGCAGAGGTCATTGCGGGACCCCTGGCACAGCTTTACGAGCGCTTGAGGTGCTCTGACAAGGTGCCAGAGGATTGGAAAAGGGCCAATGTGGTCCACATTTTCAAAAAAGGGAGGAAGGAGGACCCAGGAAACTATAGGCCTGTTAGTCTTACCTCAGTCCTGGGGAAGCTCTTTGAGAAAATTTATCCAAGAACACATCTGTGAGGGGTCCAGCAGGGGAGTGTATGCTTAGGGGCAACCAACATGGGTTCATTAGAGGCAGGTCCTGTCAGACCAACCTGATTGCCTTCTACGACCAGGTCACAAAATCCTTGGACACAGGTGTCGTGCTGGATGTAGTCTTTCTGGACTTTAGGAAGGTCTTCAATGCTGCCTCTCACCTCATTCTCATTAAAAAATTAGGAGATTGTGGTGTTGATGCCTACACAGTCAGATGGGTCACTAGTTGGCTGGAGGGCCGCACCCAGAGAGTGGTGGTGGATAGGTCTTATTCAACCTGGAGAGTCCCTGTTCCCCTGAGCACCACTGGGGGTAACTAGGAATAACAGCCATAAGTTGACTGAAAGTAGGTTCAGGCTGGACATCAGGAGGCACTACTTCACAGTCAGGGTGGCTAGGATCTGGAACCAACTTCCAAGGGAAGTGGTGCTCACTCCTACCCTGGGGGTCTTCAAAAGGAGGCTAGATAATCACCTTGCCAGGGTCGTTTGACCCCAGCATCCTTTCCTGCCCATGGCAGGGAGTCAGACTTGATGAGATGCTCAGGTCCCTTCTGACCCTACCAACTATGAAACTATATGGGGAATCAGCAACCTCCCAGGACACTACTCAGGGTCACAAGTCTTTCAATGAGCTTCAGCTGCAACTTTGAACTTGCAACTCTGCCAGAAATGAGGCAGATCACAGTTATTTTGCATAACTCCTAGCAGCTGTCCTAATACATAGTAGGTTTATAGATCCTTGCCCAATTGCCTTAGTTGCTAAAGCCTCATCACTTAATTGTGAGGTGTGCACAACATTATACCCATTGTCTGTGGTGAGAAATAGCAGTCCAGTGACTTATTTGTAGTCACAGAAGACACTGGTTTAAGAAACAGCACTACGATCTGCAAGTCCTGGGCTCCAACCTATACACAATGTTGTTTCCCAGCTCCCTAACTGTGCCAACTTAAGTGTACACAGGAGGGGAGAATATCTCTCTGTGAATGCACGATGTGGTTCAATATTTATTATTAGAATAGGGTTATTTTGTACCAGGAAAATCACTCCCCAGGTCTTTAAAAATTAAATGTCAGGGAGGCTGACTCACATCCCTTTGTGCCTGGCTGCAAACTAAGTCCAGGCTTAGAACCAAGGAAAAGGTAACCCCTTTGTAGGACAGCCTTCATGGAATTGCTTTGCAGAATAAGCTTGTTATTTGATGGAATCTGTCCTGTGGGGCAAACTATTGCTTTTGTGTGACAGTCACCTGGCAGAAAGCTGCAACGCAGTGATGTTGGGAACATTAAAATTAAACAGAACGACATGATGGTATTGCCTTGTAATGCCATGATGGCACAAATGAATCCTGCACCAGGATGATGTCAAGATACAGTGCAACAAAGCAACACAACAATGTTCCACTTAGGACAATGGAGCCACCATGCAGCCCGGCATCAGAATATCATGATACCACAGAACATAAGGACATTACCACATAGGCAATGGTGGCACGATGGAAGGCTGCAACAGAGGTCAGACTGGCCCCATGGGCAGATTTACAGGCACTCAGGAAGCTCTGGGGAAATAATGTTGCCCCTGCCAGATCCAGGGTAGGTGACTGTAACAGTAACATGGTGGTCACAGTGTGGTCTCAGTGCAAGGAGTGGGACTATACCAGGCAGTGAACTGGCTGCATATTAGACATCCCCAAAGCATTTAATAGGCAGATTTGAGGCCAAATTTTTGACTGACATTTTCTAATGGCTAATTCACGAGGCAGGGTCTTAATGCAGGTTATCTATGGAGCTTAAGCTCTTAAGACTGGAATATAAGCTGTAAAACATACTGTGGAATTAGCTGTAAAAGTCACCCTGCTTCTAAAGAAACTATACAAATGCTTTGCAGATTGTATTCATCTCCCCAGAAGCTAACAAAATGCTGGGTTGGATCTTCGCAGAATAATTCTTACTTCAGGTTGAAATGGGGGTGTAGGCAGGTTAATAATCAGCCTCCAGGGAATGTTAATGATAGCCTGGTGGGAGATAAGGGTGGTATGAATAAGTATGAGCTATGAATATGTACGGGGGCATCGCTATAATGTGGATATACATAACACCTTTCATCACAGAGGTTCCCTACTCATGGTACAAACTGTCTATTCAAAAATTACTTTACCCAGTAATGAAGTACATCCACCTCTTCTAAGGTGGAGCCCCACAGCCCTTGAAGCACAGGTAGCAACACAACATTGGTTTTGGACAGGAAGTAAGAATGCATCACAGAAGTGAAACTGCAAGGGGGACAGAAGCAGGGAGAATAGAGTACTTAAATGAGAGGCTTGTCAGGACTCTCCCATGCTTGAAAAATTCCCGTCTCAGGAGCTAAGTCGCCACAGCAGATCTATCCTTAGTTTTATGTCTTCTCTGGAAGATGAAAGTCATGGAATACCATTCTGGAGCATAATATATTAACTGTACCAGTCCAGATGCTGCTTTAAGTCATGAAAGGGCTGCCTGATCACTGATCAGATCCCAGGTGGGGCCACCTGTTTTGGACATTAGCTCTGGATCCAAAGCCTGATAAGCAGCATGGGTGAGCAGGTGTCTTTGCAGTGGGAAAGACCTGCCTATTCCTAGCAAATTGCTCCCCTCTCTAAGCTGTACAGGAGTTAAATACTTTGCTGAGATGTCCACTAGACCAGACTGACTGGGATTTCACCTGGCCTAAGCTGGAGGTTGTCCCACACCCCATCACCACAGTCCCAGCACCAGGGGCAGGCAAAATGCAGCCCACCAGGCCATTTTATCCGGCCCACAGGGACCCTAAAAAATTTAGAAAATTAATATTTATTTGCCCTGGGCTGCCTGTCATGTGGCCCTCGAAGGCTTGCCAAAACTCAGTAAGTGGCCCTCTGCCCAGTATAATTGCCCGCCCTGGGCTAAAGCTCTGCAGCTTGTTTTAGGAAGCAGTTATCTTAGGGAGGTGGGGAATGAGGCCAAATAAGGCCCCTTACATCAACCCCAGGTATTGTTTCCTTTCTGATGTCTCTCTCTCTGCAGACTGGCATCAGAAAGCAGGTGCAAGGCTGTGGAGCAGAGATAGCAGAGACCATTAATTCGTCAGGGCTGGGATGACATCTCATTAGTGATTGGAGAAAAGGAAAATGGTTCTTTTTGTTCCTGTCATTCATTCTACAGAATGATGACCTTTCTTAAAGAAAGTCCCTGGAAGGGGTGGGGGAGAAGGCAGACTCTTGCAGGTCTCACCCACCCCATGCAAACTGCAGCAAGGGGCTTCTCCTGAAGTGCTTGCTCACTGTGGAGCCCTGTCTCCTCGCCGCCTGATGGCTGGACCTGGAATGAGCATCTCAGAAGTAGGTTGGCTCACAGGAACTCCCTGCCATGGGATCCCAAAGCCTGCTTTGGAGAAGGAGTGCTCCATAGGCTGGATTCATCAAAGACTCGATGTTCAGCTGCTGCCCACTCATTGCCAGCCTTCTGACTCATCTCAGGATTTCAGGCCAGGCTCAGTGGCAGAGGCCTAGATGCTCCATGGAAACCATCTCCAGGTGATAGTGCAGATGGCTGCTTCTCTATGGGGACGGGATGTCTACATTGGGAGCAGGGTACAGGATCTTGCTGTTGAGGGAAAAAAGGTCCAGTCGCTCCTGCTCCATATCAATCAGCCTGGTGTAAGCCAGCCCTAGCATTATGCTGAAAGCCTGGGTTTGTGACGTGCTCAAGGGTAGTGGCTTGGGTCATACCTGAAGCATCCTCATTGCCTCTTGCGTAGGTTTGAGGATGGAGCAGAAGCAGTGGGTGATGGCTATGCCCTCTGCTGCAATGGAGTAGACCTTCCCTGCAAGATACTGCTTCTCTGGTAAGCAAAGGACAGGTGCAGAAGGCAGCTCATTCTCTCCTGGGCCTCGTTCCACCTTATCTGAAAAACAGCCAGGCAAGTTCAGTGACGGGGAGGTTTGAGGGAAAATCTCTGGCTTCCTGGACATGGTTTGCACTACAGACCAATCCGTAGCACAGGATGATGGTCCTGCCTCCACAGACATGGGTGGGTGTGTGATCTGGGGGCTGTTAAATCTAGGAAGACTCCATGTGCCAAGTGACCTCAATAGTCCGTTTGGAGCCACTGTTGAAGGCTTCTTTGTTCAAGAGCAGGGCAGACTCAGGATGGAAAATGGGCTGCCCTTGAGGGAAAACCCAGGGGATGTCAGCAGCATAGAGAGGGCCCGCTGATGGCCTGGGCTTCTCTTTTGGGTAAGCAGGTCTGCATTTTGTAGGGCTGTCAAGCCCAGCCTGAACAAATGAGAAGCAAACCGAAGGAGCAGCATGCTCTGTTATGTGGCTGCATGATATTATGAGAGCTGAGGCCCTGTGAATCCTCCTCACTTCTGGCAGGAGGGGAAAACCACCAGAGAAAGGCACCTAAAAGGAACAAGAGGAGGGCAGCTTCTGAGCCCAGAACCTCCAACAGCGCAAGCAAGGGCAAAGCCAACATCCCCAGCCCACACGGTAGGAGCCAATGCAACAACGCTCCCTATTCATACCATGCTTAGCCAATGTGCAGCTATCGGAGAGCTCAGGCCCCTTATCATCCTTTCTTCACAGCTTTATTGAAGCAAATGATCATTGCAGTCTGCCTCATAGAGCCACTGTAGTCCATCTCACAGGAGGAAGGTTAATGCTAGTCTGTGAAGGGGGATGAGGACAATGAGGGATGGAGGAGGGAAGAAATGCTGCAGAAGGTTTCTGTCCCTGTCCCAGGTCTCACAAAACATCCTTGATGAATAATGCAGCATCTAGGGCAGCATAATGGCACTTGCAGGTCTCTCTTTCAAGAGAGGCAGTGTCCACAGTCAACAGTATCATTGGCAGTAACCAAAATCCAGATGCTGTCATGCCAGTGCTGTGCACACACATCATTCACTGTTCCCCGCTGAATGCTTCCATCTTTGACATGTCCAGTGCTCATACAGTGCAATCCTAGCCCTCCTGAGCAGCAGGAGCCAACTAAAACCCCTGCCAAGGTCATCAGCAGGGGGAACTGAGCCTGGGACTACTGGGTCTACAAGCAGGAGCTGCTACTAGAACCAGCCCTGACACCATCACTGCTCTATAGCAGCGGCCGTTAGAGGGAGACAGATTGCCCCATGGTGTGGGCATTGGCACCAATCCCTGCAGGGGGGGATGAGTTTACTAGCACTGATCCCTTCCCATCATGACTGGACAGCACCATGTGGGGGGGCGTCACTGAGCAAAGCAGGTGGGACCTGCCCCCACAATGGGGTTGTGGCAGTGCCTCTACTCACCCTGCCACCAGGTACTGCAGGATCAGGCCAGCACACAGAAGCCCCCCAAGCAAGAGAGAATAGATGACCAGGATGTAAGCAAGAGCCCTCTGAGCCTCCTGCAGGATGGATGTGACCAGCCCTTTTTTCTGGGCATTGCCAAAGGGGGGCACTTGGTCACAACCACAGCCAGCGCTGGCCATCGGATACAGGCGGGGTCCAAGGATGGCAGGTCAGGGGGGCAGCACGTCTAGCACTGCTCATGGCACTGTGGGTGGTAGTTTCAGGTCCCTCCTTATGCCTCTAGTATCTTAAACCTGTGGGAAGAAAGAAATAAGGAGTGAGCGGGTGTCCAGGCTCCGATATTACAGCTCATCTCATTCATCAGTCCCAGCAGGAAGGGTTAGGGCCCAGGGGCAAGGACACCAGCCTGCTTGGCCACAAGCTTCAAGTACAGCCTTGGTCAAATCACCCACCATATTAGTCTCTGGGGTCTTTTCTAAAGGTACCAAAGTACATACGAATCCCTCCTTCTCCTCTGTGCTCCAAGGCAGGTCCTTTTCCCCTCCTCTTGCCCCTTCTCCCACCTGCCGCTGCTGCTTTCCACACTGTCCTTGGGGGTGGGGAAGCTTCAAAGTGGCTTCTGCCTGCTCCAGCTAGGCTGCATGAAGGCTGGGCTTAGCTGGGAACAGTGACAGGCAGCATCAACAGGGAGTTCCCTCTCCCCACACCTACTCCCGGAGGACCAGGCCAGGTGGGGGAACCCACCACTGCACCCATAGCTGCTGCTACCACTGCTGTGGACAGGGGAGGGAGGGGAAGGGATGTGCTTTTGGGCATAGAGAGGAAGGGGAGGACTCTTACCTGCTTTGGAGACTTTAAAAGGGCCCCAGAGGCTCCACAGCATGGGCCAGTCCAAAAGAGGTATATGGCCATGCCGCTGCACCCCCTCTGGACCCACCCTTGGCCCAACAGAGCCAAGTGAGTTGTGCAGACTGCCCTACCCTCTTTGGCCAATCCACCTCCATTGTGATCTCCTGGTCACTTGATACCAATGGCTTCCCTCTCAAATCTGTGACTTGAATCCCTGCATGGTGCTCACATGGGCTCCTCTGGAAATAGCCATTTGGACTGCCACAGATTTGCACAAATATGCCAGGCTCTGCTCAGCCCTCCATCCTCCCCAGCTGTGGTGTGGGACGTTCTTCCCCTCCTGCATTTAGTCATCTCCATAAGGCCTCTGACCTAAAGCCAGGGTGGGAAGGGAGGGCTGCTAACACCTGGGGGTAGCCCAATTATGGATCAGGGCACCCTTGTGCTAGGGCCTGTACAAACACAGAACTGCCCAGCTCAGTTATCTACAGCTCAGTGGCAAGCAGGTAGGAGCTGTAGTTGCCACTGGTAGGAACAGGCTGGAACCACTGGCTGAAGCTGTCAGCGATCCCTGCAGAGCAGAGAGTGCAGCCACTAGCTCATTGGGACAACTTCCCAAGAGCTGGTCTCCTTGCGATGTGCCCCGTCCCTGCCATGGGGGGCTGGCTGAATGGGGTGACATGGGTGAGTAGGGAGGTGTTAGTGTGGCTGGGGCAGAAGAAGGAAGCCGGGCCCAGAGCACCTTCCACACACAGCTTACACTTCCCAGCAGCCTTGGGTGGAAAGCACAGCTGATCCCAGGCTTAGGGGGCTGCTCTGGTCCTGGGTTAAGTCCTTGTTCTGTCCCAGATGTCCTTGGTCAAGTAATTCTGTGACCCAGTTCTCCATCTCCAAGACAGGGCTAACAGCATTGCCCTGCCACCTAGCAGTGCAGGGAGGATCAATAACTACGGAGCTCTTTGGTAGCAGATACATTGGTGACAAGGACAAATAAGTACCCGAGGAATTGCGGTACCTAGGAAGAGAGGAGCACTGCTGTGGAGTCAGGACTCCTGGATTTCATGCTCAGCTCTGATGCTGTAGAACTCTGTGCCTCAGTTTCCCCAGCTATCAAAATAGCATTGTCCTGACAGTTAGGAGCCTAAACTAGCAAGTGTGCAATGCAGTAAGCACTGTTCTAGTGCACAGGCATGCTGTGGGGGGGGTTTCAAAACTGCTGAAGCCAGTAGGAACATACACCCAACCGTTCCCGCAACTGGGCAGACCTCAGTCCAAGAGACCTCTGCCTGAGGTTACAAAGCAGCTCAGATGAGTCGTTGGATATTCCAGGTTCCAGCCCTGGGCTCAAACCACAGGACAATGCATCCTCTCAGCATTTGCTCCTCATGTTCCTCACTACAGCACTGCCTCTACAGCACATATCTCAGCGGGTGATGTCAGGAGAACAGGCCTCTGGTGGTCTTTTTTCATCCACTGTGTTCTCCGAATAGGCTATGGAACATGTGTGGAACCTGGATAGGCTCCAAAAATTAATCCTTGCAGCTTTCTGAGGGTTGTTTTGGTGCAACCCTGCCTTGCCCACACTCCTCTTGTTCAAGTTTCAGCTCAGCAGAGGGGCATCATCATTTATACCCCATCAGACTCAAGGCAGACTTTCTCAGCACCATCTTCTGAACAGACAGGCATCTCTCTGCAGCCCTGGTGTGGTAGTGCAATCCGCCTACACATAGGACCGCAGAGGTCTGTGTGACATCAGAAAACAGGGGCTGTGGCAATCAGCCTCCCTACCTCTGCTCTTGGAGACAGATCTCCTGCTGGCTTATAAGAGCATGATCCTGGTGATTTCAATGGAGCAAAGCCAGCTGACACCACCAAAGGATGTGACCCATTATTATTAGGGACAGTGAAACCATTGATGCATCTTGAATTCCCAGGAGGCCCTACCAGGGCATGAAGGCTTGAGTGAGGTGCAGGGATACAGGCTTTACTCATGCGTTGTTCTCTCCAGCACTTTCTTTGCCAGTGCTGAACGGGAACTTTCCAAACTAACTGCAGAAGCTGCTACAGCCTGAACTGGAGACTCCCATCTCTGCCACTGAGGGCTGTATCACCTCCCCGCTACTGTGCACTGTGCACACACTCACTAGTGGATTCCATGTATCCTTATTGCCCCACAGCATGACTTATGCACTCTCACATTATGTCCTAGTGTGAATGGTCCTTGGCTCATCCTCACCTTTGATTCCCCCAAAGTCCTGGAACCAGTTAAGGAGACCCAGGCCCCCTGAGGCCAAGATTGCTCCCAAAGAACATGGCTCCTGTGACACTCCCAGCCCAGCTCTACACATGCAAGAGCCTCAGGGCTCATTTATACAGGAAAAATTAATCCTAATGAGCCAAAGGGGTGTCCTTAAAGTGGTTTTGTTACGCTGCATGAAACCTCTGCGTGGTCTATCTTAGCTAGAATTAAAAAGTGGCTTTTGTTTGATTTACCTTGATGTGCATTGAAAGCTAAATACTGAATGGAGATCACTTATTAATTGAAAATTAGCGTCCACACAGAGGCACCAGAGGATTTAACTAATCCCCTTTAAAAGTCTATTCAAATGGACTCTTCTATTCATGCTCATGTAGCCAAGTCCTGAGATAACTCCGAGAAGTCTTGTGGAGAGGAGGTAGCTTCTTTGTGGTCAAGGAAGTAACTCTTCTGTCACAAAGCCCTGATTTAGCTCTCCTATAAGTTTGGTTTGAAGAGTTCACCTGGAGATAACTTCTTTTACTCTATGCACTGGATCCTCAGTACATTTGGGCGGCAGCTTCGTGCAATCTCACTACACATGTCACTATCGAAGATGATACCTGAAAACCTGGTCCTACAGCAAAGGGAAGTGTTTTGACCAGCTTTGAAGGAAATCCCTTTGCTGACGGTTACTGAGTTCTCTCCCACTTTCCAGCCTAGGCAGCCAAGTTCTGCCCAATGCCAAGAAGGAGTACATCACTTAGTGCTAAGGAGTTATTCAACACCTTGCTGGATCAGGCCCACCATTGCAGAAAGAGGAGCTACCTGCCCTCTGGTTCTGGTCTCCACAATAAAGCAGATACCTCCAAGGTTCCCCAATTCCTGACTGACATGAATGGACCTTCCTTGCAAGCTAGTTATTACTGTCCCTATTGAACTGATTGGAAAGCCAAGAAATGTAAGGAGTTAAGCAATCTGCCAAAGGCTACTGATGGGTTGGGGGTGTAAAAAACTGGCCCAATCTCCTCCGCTAGCTGCTTTTTCTGCTCAGCCTCAGTGAGAGCAAAAGAGCCCCCGTTTCCTCATGGGAGCCCACTGTACAGTCTAACCTGTATGGGGTATTGCAGGTGCCCTGGACATTTGCCCTGGCAAAGCTCCCAATGGATCTGGAACCTCCCACTGAAACAGTTTCCCTCCATGCCCAGCCTATGCTCCTTTGTGCTCCACTTCACCCCGATTCTCATTTTGCCTCTGTCCCCTAGCCTAAATGGGTACTCTCCTAGGGGGTGAAGGGGGATGGTTCTCACCTGGTCTTGGTGTCTTTTCTGCAATCAGACAGAACCGTTCCCTTGGACATGGGGTGAAAAGCAGAGATTGCTGCCTCTGGAGCAGATATGCCCAGTTGCTACCCAAACAGGGATGCCAAATAACTCAGTCAGGTTCTGACTTACCTTAAATGTCTCCAGCTCTTCACCTGTGTTGGGGAGTGGGGAGCTGTCAGCTCAGGAAGAGGCGATGTGCTGTTCTCAGAGCTCCAGCCAGCTTGATTTCCCAGCTTAGTGCAGCCAGGGGTTTTCCTTGCTCTGTCATCAATACCCCTGCAAGCCAGACTAGCGTTGATCCACAGACTGGCCCCGTGGGCTGAGTGCTCCAGGAGGGACTCAAAGAAGGGGATGCGCTGAAGTGCAGGAGAACTTTAAAGGCTGCCTTCCCTGGTAGTATGAAAGGGGAGACTATGATTTACAAGGGCCTGCTGAATGCATTGAGCTTGCTCTGACACTCCCCACCCCCTTTGATGACCTCAGATGCCATCCCCACTGCTGCCTGGATACTCTCCTATTGCCTTGACAGCCCCCCCC